AGGAATTTCTAGTTTAACTCAGAAAATAATATTAAGGATCCTTGAGAGAGCAATTAGGTTCATTTGTGTGTCCAAAATGCCAAAGTCATATTTGGTAATATAGGAATTAATGTTAAAAGATTTAAAATAAAATTTGAGAATTTTTAGCATTTCCATTTGACTTAAAAAAAAAAAAAACAACCCTTCAATTTGCTGAAATTCCCCACCTTTTTGTGCATGTTGTACACCTTTTCTGCCAGGTCATTACGTATATTAAACAGAGTTAATTTAAACACAGATGTAGGCCTCTGCATCTGGGCTTTGTTGACACTTTAATTCTTGACATTGGGTTATAGTTTCTTGATTTTTTTGTTGTTTCTTTTCTTTTTTTAAATATAATTTTATTGATTTCAGAGAGAGGAAAGGAGAGAGAGAGGTAGAAGCATCCATGATGAGAGAGAATCATGGATCGGCTGCCTCCTGCATGTCCCCTACTGGGGATTGAACCCACAACCCGGGCATGTGCCCTTGACCGGAATCAAACCCAGGACCCTTCAGTTTGTAGACTGACGCTCTATCCATTGAGCCAAACCGGCTAGGGCGATTTTTTGGTGTTTTTTAATTTTTGGTAACTGACCTTTGCTGGTGACAGGAGGGCAGGAGGATCTCTAGCAGTAGACAGTTTTTGCCTTAGGTCAGAGAAGGGTCATCAGGTGTAGGTGGGTCACCTCTTCCTTCAGCAAATGACTTTTGCTTTGTATCTGAATAGGGTCCAGGGTACTTGCAGCTTTTGTTTGTCTTCCATTGGCAGCTAATCACCACTTTTTCAACTCCAGTAGGGTGCAGAGCATGCATGGGCTTCTTCAGGTACTTCTGCCCCGTCCTCAAACCTTGGCACCTCTGTGCCACAGAGAGTGGCTCTCACATCTCTTTCACTGCCTTCACTCATCTCTCAAAGACCCAGTGGAAACCCATGGAAAAGAGCTGGCGACTAGGTGGGGACTGCCCTTGTGTGAGGCTCTGGGGGATTCTGTGCTGTTAGCTCACACTTGGCCTTTAATGATTCATTCAACTCCTATGGTTTTCTTGCCAGCTTTTATGGCTGCCATCACCAAAGGAGATGCAGTTCGGGTATTTCCATAGAGGAACTGGTCACTCTTTAGAATTCATTTCACTTGGTTGGGCGTGTGGAAAATATAGAGACTTCAGGTCAAAAAATAGATTCTGTAGTAGGTTAACAAGACTTTTTAAAAAAAATCTATACTAATAAGAGGGTAATATGCTAATTAGACTGGACATCTTCCGGATGTCCTTCCTGACAAAGCCACGGTGGCGGGGGCCAAGGTAGAGGTGGTTAGGGGCGATCAGGCCGGTAGGGGAGCAGTTAGGGGCATCAGGTCGGCAGGCAGAGGCGGTTAGGGGCGATCAGGCTGGCAGGCAGGCAAGCAGTTAGGAGCCAGTGGTCCCGGATTGCGAGAGGGATGTCCGAGGGGTCCTGGATTGGAGAGGGTGCAGGCCAGATTTCGTGCACCAGGTCTCTAGTATAATCATAATCATAAGTGTGGGACTGATGTTCTCTCATGAATTTTCCCATTCTAAGTGGAGGAGGCACTTCACTGTTCTATTTTAATAACTTCATAATCACTGAATTTGATAAGTCAAGAAATCGTTAAATTTATAGAAAAAATTCACCTATAGTCTTAATACTAATGTGGAAATGTTAGTGTATCGCATTTTTACTGATTTCAGTATAATTGGCAGCTAAATTGTCACTATTGTCATGCAGTCAATGCCTTGTGTTGCACGGTAATTACTGCTCAACCTTTTCTTGAATTCTCTAGACTTCCTTCCCTTAGAGCTCCTCTTTCCTTTGAAGTGGACACTTCTGAATGCTGAACAGCTGCCAGAGCAGCTGTTTAAAGAATCCCCTGAAGTTCTCATTAAAGCTATACCTTCTGGAAAGTTTCTGAGTCAGGACTTTGGAGTGTGGCAAAGGAATCTGTCATTTACAAGTTCTTCAGACGATTTGGAGAGCTAAGAGCTGCAGTCTTTGAGAGTCACTGGGCTATCGAAGAACCATTGATCCCGAAGCTGGTCTGCTCTTAAGCTCGGAGTGGTGCCATCTTATGTTTAAGTATAAGACTGTGTTGTTGCTGAAGCTACTACTCACATATGCACCCCTTAAGTGTTCTGGGCTAGAGGTATCCAGGCAAACCTGGGCAGCACAAACAGCAAATCACAGCTTAAGAATCTAATGAAGAGGGACTGATGAAATAGACAATGGTGTGTCCAGACAGTTACTGAAATTATGTTGTAGAAATATACTTGACCTGGTAAATGATGCTATGTAGCTGAGTGATAAAAGCAGATTACAAAATAATGGAGTTCCATATTGGTTACACGCACTGACACAAGAATAGAAGAACATGTTAATGGTAATTATCTACCCAATGTTGGTAGTGGTCATTTTCCTATAACTGCATTTTTAACTTTTAAAAATTTTAGCGAACGTGCATTACTTCTGTAAAGATAGATGTTAGTGCCCTTGTAGTGTTTGTTAGATCCTTCCGACCCTTTTTCTTCCCTATCTCATTTTAACATGGAAAAGTCATTATTTAAAGAAAACAAGAATGTTTTTGTGAACATAAAAGCACATAGTCTTATTTTTTCTGTTTCATTTTGGTGGGATGGGGATGGGGTGTAGGTAGACGAGGGATATAAATAAGAAATTGTGGAACTTATTTGCACTTTACATCTGTGGTGTCCAATTCGGTGGCCTCTAGCCATATGTAACAATTCAGAGTGTAAGAGTCCTGAGCCCAAAATATGTGAGAATCACTAGGATAAAACAGTTTCCAAGGTACGTTTTTAGAACAATTGCAGGTCAGTGTGATTGTATGTTAGCATTTGTGTCAAAAGGGGTATAAATGGGATACTTGTTTTTTTGTATATACATAAAATTCTTCTGGAAGGATATAAAGGAATTAAGTGTTGGCTCAGTGAGGAAGGTGTGAAAGGTACGTTCTCTAAACCTTTTTGAACTCATTTGGATTTTAAACTAGATGACTATATTAATCCTTAAAACAAATTTTAAAACACCCCTCCTACCAGCCATGTTATACATTTCCGGGAATCTAGGTCTGTTAGGAAAAGTTGGAGCAAGTTTGGAGAAGCAGTTATTTTTCTGGCAGCTTGCTTTTTTCTTGTTTGAGAAGAAAATGAAGCTTGCTTGTTTCAAGGGTAAAAAATTTCATTTTATGTCCAAGCCAAATATATTCATGTTGAAATAACGTAAATCAAATAGGTAGCAATTTTCCCAGTGGGGCCCAAAGTATACTGAATTTAAGTTTTAAGGACGAACCATTTGATTAGTTTTTAAAAATAGTTTTTTTTCTAGGTTCCTAGTAAAGAGATTAAATTTATTTTAGGAGATTGTTATAATTTATAGTCCTGTCATTTAAAAGGTTTTGAATAAGTGCTGCATGAAATGTGGAAGCTAAGTAAATGTTCTGACATTTGATTCAGTACAAAAAGTGCTTTTTATTACTCATAACCTTTGGGGATTCTTGAAAAGAATAGCTAAGGAATTCAATTTTCTTTATTCTGTCTGCTGTTAAGTATGGCTTTTGATCAATGTTCATGCTTTTAACTTTGAAATAGTGTCCTTTCATGGAAAGGGAAAATTATTTTAATGCAAAAACTCTTCAGATTTTTTTTCAAATAATACTTCTAAAATTTATATCTTTGAATACTGAAATACCATTTCTAGAGTTCTTTGAAGCACTTTAGAGAAAGATACCGCATGTGTTTCTGTTCATTAGTTATAGTTAAAAGTTTGCCCATAATGTAGGACCATTTCCCCAGTTTCTTTAGTTAATAAGGAATGCTTTTAATAATGTTAATGGGTTATTATGAAGTACTTGACAAATGGGTAGTTAATTCATTAAGTTTACTTATTAGTTGCATATGCATATATAGTATTTGCACATGCAAATATAGCATATGCTTGTAATATTTACACAGTATTCTTTTTAAATCTAAGCACAACTTAGAAGTAGCATAATTAGTATTTTTTAATTTTATATGTATGGAAATTGAAATTCAGAGTACTAAATGTATTGTGTAATGTCATACAGCCTTGTTACAAAGTAAAATAATTTAGATTTTAAAAAGGCTAGGTCAGATTTCAACAAGTTAAGTAAAACTTTACTTAGATTTAAGTAAAGCTCTGTTCTTGCAAGACATGCCTTTATGTATACCTACTATGTTCCAGGCTCTGTGGTCAGCACTGAAGATAGAAAGATAAGACATAAATCCTGCCCTCCTAGGACTTGGAAGTTTAGGGACAGTGGGAGAAGTGAATAAGTGTGATGGTGCCTTGTTGAGAGGCCATGTATCCCAGATATTTATGAGGAACTGATAAAACTTGAAGGATAGCTAGAAGTAGCCAGGTGAATCTGTTGAGGGGGTGTGTTAAAGACTTTGTTCAAGTAGAAAATACTCAAGGAAGCCTGACAGCACACTGACTGATACTTGGTAACTGCTAGCAGTTCCTTCCATATGTTTGCTGTGCTGGGCTGTGCAAGAGGAAGAGCAGAATATGAACAGAAGGAGGTAAACAGTGTGCCCTAAATTGGAAATGTGAACTTTTTTCTAAAGGTTGTAGGAATGAATGTAAGTTGATGGAAGGACTTAGATTGACCAAAGTTTGAGACTTAGCTCTTGGGCTTCTTAGCTGTGGGACCATAGTCAAGGGACTAAATATTTTGAGCCCCAGTTGCTTCATATGTAAAGTGGAAATAACATTCAATTTGCAGACAGTTAGGAAGACTAAGAAAATGTTAAAAAAGCACTAGTGTGCACCAAACGTTTAAGTAGTCCATAATGGAAGCTGAATTAGAAGGAGAGACCCCTATACGTATTCTAAGCTTGTAAGAAGAACCCTTTGCATTTAGATGGTGACAGAAGGTCTGTAAACCTGTTTCCCAGGATGCTCACATTCTGTTTGTTCTTTCTCACAGGCCAGCCCTCCAGATGTCTATATTGAAAGATTTAACATAGCCCTTGGACAGTATATGGGAGCACTGCAGAGCATTGTGCCTCTTTTCATATACATGGTAAGTCAGAGCTTGGTTTACTGGTCTGAGTATCGAGTGCGAAGCATGTTCTATTTTTCTTTTACTATATATTATGGTAGAAATGGAAAATAATCTATTTTAGGAATGTTCGATAGTGTTGGCATAGAAGAATTTTCTGTTTTAAAATTACATAAAAAACATTGCTATGTAGATAATTAGGCATTAATATCAGTAACCACCCAATTAGCATTTATTTTATTTCTGCCATAATGGAAGATATTGTGCTTGGAAAATAAATATGTATAAGAAAGATTTTTTGTCCTCAGAAAAAAGAGAATTAAGACATGTATCTAAAATCATGAGTGCCAAGTAAGTCATTCTATAAAAAAATAGAACAATAAAATTTGCTTCCATTCTGATGATCTCTTTCATTTGGAAAATTAATGCCTTGAGTATAATTTGTAGTCTGTTGACTCTGTTGATTAGTCCTTCCCCTCTTTAAATATTTAAAGTTGTAGAATCTTAATGTTAGTGTTCCTATTGAATGGAGGGACTCCTTATCTCAATGAGTAAAATCATTATCCCAATTCCTCTTTGTTTATTAGATTTAAGGAATGGGATGTTTACGTTGGTCCTATTTTCTATAGCATAGAGATTGCATGTTTTATACCAGTCTTCAAAATTATTATTTACTCTCCATAAGATATACTTTACTGAAAAGAACAAAAACAAAAACAAAACACCACAAATTAACAACTAGAAAAAAACCCAAAACAGAACACTGGGAGGAATTTCTGTGATCAGCAGGGACTATTATTTAAATAATTTATTGAAGATAATTACAGTTGAAAAATATGCAGTTAAAAATAACGACATGTTGCCCTAACTGGTTTGGCTCAGTGGATAGAGCGTCAGCCTGCGGACTCAAGGGTCCCAGGTTCGATTCCGGTGAAGGGCATGTACCTTGGTTGCGGGCACATCCCCAGTAGGGAGTGTGCAGGAGGCAGCTGATTGACGTTTCTCTCTCATCGATGTTTCTAACTATCCCACTCCCTTCCTCTCTGTGAAAAATCAATAAATACATTTAAAAAAAAAATAACGACATGTCCATGTTATTTTAGAGAAAAATCTTCCCTAAGAGACATTAGGTGACAAAGCAAGATACAAAGCAGTGTGTAATATTTCTCCATTAGCAAGTGTTTTCTTCTTCTTTAGGGAAAAATGTATATCCCCATATTACGTAAGCAGTGTTTTAGAAAGATTATACAAAGTGTCGTCCCTACTGTAGGACGGGACCTTTGGGAATGGGACAGGGTCTGGCTGGGGGACAGTTCTTTTTATTGTGTAACCTTTTGCATGGTTTTAATTTTTGACCATGTGCATATTATTTTTATAATTTTTTAAAGAGAAAAATAAAACTTGTGTTAAGAATTGAGAGAATCTGCACGTTGTTAGTGTTCCTCTTTGCATTTTCCATTCCTAGACGTTGAGTTAACATTTACACATGAACAAATTCAATCTTTTGTGACTTGTCAGTCATTCTAATCAGGATGCTTCTGGCTGCCAGAAATAGAAGGCCTGATTCAAAGTGATTTAAATAAGGGAAAGAATTAGCTTTTGTAATGATACCCGGATATAAGGCAGTCTCCAGGGTTGGCTGAATCTGTGGTTTAAGTGTCACCAAGGACTCAGGTTTTTTTCTTTCTTTTGTACACAACATCTTGGAACACACCATGTTCTCATGGTGGTAAGAGGACTGTAAGATACTCTTCACTCGAGCCTGGGTTTCTCTCAGTTATTGGGCTATCTTGGGTCATGGGTCTATCTTTGAACCAGAGACCATCTCTAAGGAATGCCGTAGGCTGAATGGCTACGCATTGAATGGAGCGTATGTTGGGGAGTCAACAGTGCAAGTTCAATACCTGCTTTCAGCGTAGGTCACTAATAAATGGGGACCTTTCAAAAGGCACACTAAGTGCTTGTCACACAGTGGTTCCATGTATCTGTACATCATCTCTGTCTAGGTCGTGTCAGGTATCGCCCGTGTTCTTTTGGAGGTGTATGGTTCATTGCATTTCATCTTTATGTGCTTTTACTCCCATGCCAGAAAGACACATAAATAGGGCAGGGCTTTCTATCTGTTGTTTGATGTTGCATTTTTATGTTTTGCTTGATGCTTTTATGAATTGTTTTCTAAAAAAATTTATTTTTAGTGTTTCAGTTTTAGACTGATCATTTCCCCTAATGATGCACTGAAAAGTAATTTATTTTCCCTTTCAGAATAAGTTTTACATCGAAACAAAACTTAACAGAGACTTAAAAGATGACCTTATAAAGCTGTTTACGGAACATGTTGCAGAAAAGCACATTTACAGCCTAATGCGTAAGTACTTTAGCTTATAGGGGTGCGATAACACTAGCAATGATATACATAATTTTTGATCAGAGAACACTGGCACAGCAGAAGGTGTTGAAGCCCAGTTCTCTAGAGAGAGGCATGAGGAATTGAAAATGTGAGTTGAAGATCACCCAGTGAGCTGGGAGCTGCTTGACCCCATTACTGGACAGTGCCTTCGTATCTGGCCTGACACTTGCTACCTCTCCCTCTTCTGACAATGAAGTAAATATTATCAAAGGGTTCACCCCTGACTTTGTTACTGGTAACTCTAGAAGGAGCTTGGTGTGATATCTTTGAGGTGTAGCACAGAATCCTCCCTGATTTTTACTCTCTAGTGCAAAAACCCTTCCCTCATCTGGCTCTGTCATTTTTTGTAAATTTTTAAAAAAATATGTATTTTTATTGATTTTAGAGATGAAAGGAGAGGAGAGAGAGAGAGAGAGAGAGAGAGAGAGAGAGAGAGAGAGAGAGAGAGAGATACATGAATGATGAGAGAGAATCATTGATTGGCTGACTCCTGCACATCCCCAACTGGGGATCAAGCCCACAACCCAGGCATGTGCCCTGACTGGGAATCGAACCGTGACTTCCTGGTTCATAGGTCAATGCTCAACCACTGAGCCATTCTGGCCAGGCTAGAATTTCAGTTTTAAACATTATATTTTGAAAACATTTCCTATAGTGCTTAAATTAACACTTGTCTCTTTAAAATTTATCTATGCCGTTCAAAATTATAACTGTCTACTGATGATAAAATTCGAATGATAAACTTCAACAATGCACCTTTGGCCTTCATATAAATTCAGTGTAACTCACATCTGTTTGAAACTGTGAGGTGATTGTTGGCCAAGTGAGATGGCTTTTCCATTTAAAAAAAAGCAAGAACAGAAGGAAACAGCTTGTCCAATTTTACAACCCTGGCATACAGTAAAATTATGCCATGTTTTATGGAGTATTTTGGTTAGTAAATCGCAGGTCTTAGACAAATTAAAAATGAACTGTTGTTCTGTGTCAGGAGTATCTTTTGTATCCACTAAATAATGGAATTCGTTTGTGTCTGTTAATGATGTTACCTAGAAGAATTATTTCTATCCATTTAAAAATGTTCTAATAAAATCTTTGTCCTGCAGTGGATAACCTGAAAGGAAACTGATTCTGTTGTCATGTTCAGTCAGGGTTGCATGGTTACTAGAGTTATGGAAGTGAGAAGGATGAGCAAGCGTGATCTCTCTTGCCATTACCTTTAGTTAAAAAAAAAAAAAAAAAAAAGTACATACAGCTGTAGCATTTGGGGAAGTCAGTCTGACTCAGAGAGTCAGTCTGACTCTGTGATTGTAGTTACTGAAATTACCAATAATATGTCTTTCAGGAAAATTCCAAGAGCCTCAACTATGGTAATTTGGGGGAAAGAGAAATGATTGAGAGAATTACAGAACACTTCATCCCCCAGGTGCAAATTTTTTGAATCAGGAACATAATAGGAAGCACTTTCAGCTTACTCACTAGGTACCACGAATACCAGTGCTTTTAGAAAGGTTTACTTGTTTCAGAACCTCCATGAGTTGAGTAATTTCCATTAGCATTTCAACAGACCTGTACACATTTACTTGTTCGAGCTCTGTTGCATTGGATTTAAAAACAATCTTTAGTGTATAAACTCTCGGTTTGGCCTCTTGGGGCGTTCTTTTCTTGCACTTGTTTACTCTTCCATCTTTGGGAGAAATAGTAATAGAAAGAGAAACCTTGACAAGAGGTGTTACATCATTTTTATGTCCCATTTTATCTTTTTATTTCAGCTTTACTTTTAGAAGCCCAGTCAACACCATTTCAGGTCACACCTTCAACTATGGCAAATATTGTGAAAGGCCTGTACACTCTCCGACCAGGTAAACTCCTGCATCATTTCTTTTGGGGTTGGACTTGTTTGTGGTAGTTCCATGCCTACCCGTGGACAGTGTTGTTTCTCCCTGTGTTTTCTGAGGCCTAATGGCATTTGGATTGTTATGGCAAAAAATATTGAGTAGATACTCATCATTGTGAAATGTAAACTCAGGACTCAGTTGCAGTTATCTCTATTCTAGTGAAAGCCAACGGAAGTACAAGAAATAATTTGTAGGAGACACTTTAGATAAAATTGACTCTCCTGCCTGGCATTAATCTTTGCCTTTTTTGTTAGGGAGTTTCTCCTTCACTTCTGTCCCACACTACAGATACTATGCATAGACATATAAATTCATAACTCCATCTTCTTTGGCCTCTTATGTAACTTGCAAGCAGTCAGTTGGGGATTTTAGAAGGTATTCCCCTGGGGAAAGAGGGACTACTTTAATTACCTTTTTGTGAAATTCTTTTATCGTTTGAAGATTCAGTGAAATAAGACCTGATCTAAATTGCTTAACACAGTACCTGATAATATAATAAGCATACTAACATGAACTGTTATTACTATTCAGTTGGATTCAGTGGTTGTTTTAATTGGTGGTTTGATTGTTTGCTTAATTTAAAAGATATGTCAGAATTTAGCTTGCTAAAAATGGAAACTTGGTGAAAATTATATTTGAGGTAGAGTATGATGTCAAATACTTCTTTCTACTTTAAACAGTTAGTGACTTCTACAGTATTCAAATTTAATGTTACTTAACTTTGACCAGGTCTTGCTCCATTCTCCATAATTTTTAAACAAATTATGTGTATAAAGTACTTATATAAAGTAGCAAAAATATATTCATGTGTCCAATAAACTCATATTTTTCTTTTTGTAGTTTCTCAGAATTTTGAATTTCATTTTACTAAATGTGATGAAATGGCTCATGGATTTGTCCTTTAGCACTAGGTTATGAATGATTTATTTTATTTTAGTTTGGAAGGCATCCAAGTGCAGTTTGACAAATTTCTAAATTCTACTTCTTAAGTAGGTAGCTTTATCGTAAAAGCTCTGGCTTTCAGCATGAGTAACAAGTTGCAGAATGAAAGTAATCACTATGGGTAGAAAGACTCATAGCTACATGTTCATCTAAATGCTATTTTATCTAAGTTTGAGCTCTTACAGGATTCATACTATTTATGAGGAGAATTCTGTATTTGAGAATTGTCCTTTTCAAAAGGTGAATTGTATCACAGACTAGCCTTTTGTAACCCTAGGCATTTTCTGAGATACAATTAAACATATTTTGACATTTACATGTCTTGCCTATTGTGTTCATGGTTTATTTTATTATTTTTTAAAAATAATTCTTTATTGAAAATATTTGTTCCTGGTTTATTAAAGCAGTTTTATTCACCTGATGGATTAAGGTTAAAATATTTTAAAAGTGGAATTTTATCTATTTATTTATTCATTTTTGAGTTTTTAATTTATCTTTATTTTTTAAAGTATTACAGATGTTCCCTGCCCCCATTGACCCCCTTCCCAGGTCCTCACCGCATTATTGTCTGTGCCCATGGGTTATGCATATCCTATATAATAAAAGCCTAATATGCTAATGATATGCTAAGGCCACTCAACCGCTCACTGTGACGTGCACTGACCACCAGGGGGTAGACGCTCCAACTGGCAGGTTAGCTTGCTGCTGGGATCCGGCCAATTGGGACTGAGTGAGACTGGCCGTACATGCCCTGGAGCCCTCCTGTGTCCCTCCCCAGCCCCGATCATGCACTGGTGGGGGTCCTTCGGCCTGGCCTGTGCCCTCTTGCAATCTGGGACCCCTTGGGGGATGTCAGAGAGCTGATTTCGGCCTGATCCCACAGGCCAAACCAAGGGACCCCACTGGTGCATGAATTTGTGCACTGGGCCTCTAATATGCATATAAGTTCTTTGGTTAATCTCTTCCTGCCCTCTTCCCCTTCCCTCTGAGAATCGTCATTAAAAGTTGAATTTTAAATGTAAAAGTTTCTTTTACTACGGCGCTTCTCACATGCTGGTCTTTGTATAATGAATGTATCTGGATCACCCAAGAAGGTTTTGTTGTTGTTGTTGTTGTTGTTGTTGTTGTTGTTTTTCAAGAAGGTTTTCTAAACTCTAGATTCCTGGGCCCTAATCCTTGGAGATTCTGATGACTGTTATCATTTTAGGTGTGTTTTCATTTGGTCTTTAGAAGCTCAGCTTGAAAATAGTTGTAGGCGTGCCATCCTGCCCTTCATTTATACAAACACTTTTGTTGTTGTTCATATATATTTTAATGACTACGTGGAGTTTCATAAAAGGGCAGGTCTGTTTGATTCCTGCCAGCTCACCCTGATGGTTAGTGTTCCCCTGAGCACTGTATTGAGACTTTCTAAACCATGTTTGAGATGAGCTAGATGGAAGGAAATGATTGAGAACATTTTGCCATGAGTTTGAACAAGGGATGAGTGGATTGACCCGTGTAATTTGTGGTCCTTATTTATTTGGTGTTTTTTTTGTTTTGTTTTGTTTTTTACCATCTCTAACTTGGCTGTTCTGTTGAATTTTTTACTTATCTGACTCAGCATTGCACAGCATTAGTGCAATTTTTTTCAAATTTAGAATTACATTTACTCAGATTATTATTTTTAAATTGAACTCACTGGAATAAGTAGAGCTTTGACATTTTATGGTTCTTGAGGTACACAGCTAAGATGTTTTCCAAGAGGGAACATTTGAAGAGGTCAGATTAAAAGAACCCAAAAGGGTAACAATGCTCAGTAGGGCCACCAGCAAGGAGCGCTGGTTTCATCACACCTGCTCCAGGTGCTCATTATTTACAGTTAGAGTTCAGTGAGCAGTGGGAAGAGATTGTGTTTATTTTACTTGAGTTTTTGTGAATATTAACAAGGCTTTTCTACTTTTTTATTGTAAATTATTTTCATTCCTGTCTTTCATTTATCTGGTCTTAACTGATTTGTAAAAATGCTCCATAATAAAAATATGAATTAATCATCAATGCAGATATTTCCTTAGACTTCTCTATGTCTATTTATTCTGAATGTTTTTCTTTAGATTGTTCTCTTGATCATTTATCTTTTTAAATAATTAAATAACAATACAATTATTTTCTTTTACTGTTTACATATATTTAATTTGCTGTATTTAGCATGGGTCAGGTCAAATAGGTCTTTCTTCAAAAGACTTACTAGTTATCTCCAGCCCACTTGTTAAATGTTGATTTCCCATCCATTTTTGTGGGCTTCCTTTTATATGTCTATTTATTACTATCCGCACAATTCTCTTCTTGGTCCAGTGTGCCATCTTTTATTTATTTATTTATTTATTTATTTATTTATTTATTTATTTATTTATTTATTTTATTTTATTGCTTAAAGTATTACAAAGGGTATTACATATGTGTCCTTTTTTCCCCCCCCGCCCTTGACAATCCTCTGGCCTCCCCTACCCCCCAGTGTCTTACGTCCATTGGTTATGCTTATATTTATGCATACAAGTCCTTCGGTTGATCTCTTACCGCCCTCCCTTCTGCCCCCCAACCCTCCCCAGCCATCTTAACAAATGCTTTATAGGGCTAATTCCCACCAAGTCTCTTCCCTCCAATTGCCCCCCACTCAGAATTCTTAAGTTATCTCGTTCATGTTTTCCCTCACGTTTAGAAGTTTTGATAAGGATCATTTAAAATTCTCTAGAGATTTTCATTAAATTTTGTTATAGTGGCAAAATGTAAAAACATCTGCTTTCTTTACACTGTAAATTCTTTTTAGAAAGGAAATTTAACCTCTTGTATGTTCTTTATCAGAATGGGATTGCACCTAAGTTTGGTTTAATATATATTTAACTTAATTTGCCTCTATGATTTTCTTAATGAATTGTTTCCTTCCCTCACAGAGTGGGTTCAGATGGCTCCAACTCTATTTTCTAAATTTATTCCAAATATTCTCCCTCCGGCGGTGGAATCTGAACTTTCTGAATATGCTGCTCAAGATCAGAAACTTCAAAGAGAACTTATGCAGAATGGTTTTATGAGGCAAGTTTTTTCCCCTTTGTGACAAAATAACATCAGTTTCCTTAGGCCAGTTTGGCTTGGCAGGGGAGGGATGCCAAGGTTCTTAGACGGAAATAACTGTCTAAGAGTCAAGCTGTTCCCGGGAGAGGTAGGCTACCTATGTCTGTGGAATGTTTAGGCTGCGTTTTGATTTTATGGAAGCTGCTCTTCACTAAATGGATTTTGAAGAAGCAATTTCTCACTGGGTGGGCAGTTAGCTGGGCAGCCTCCAAGAGCTCTTCAAACTTTGATCCTCATATTAGTTCTGAACATTTCGAAAAGCATTATAGAAATTTTATGATCAGTTATAGGCACTTTTATGACTAAACTAGTGTAAAGAGGCTTTAGATTCTCTTTTTCTTATTTTCACTTTTGCCCTAAATTCTAGTTGTTCCTTCTTAAAAAAGAAGGTATCTCTTTAATGTTGCCGGATGTTTGCCTTCCTTGGTTTTAACATATACACTTCGCTAATTTCTCTAAAATTTACAATTCTGTATCATGACTATAACCCAGGAAATCTTGCAAAGTACATCTTTTCAACAAAAATAAATTATATAAAAACTTTGTGATTCCCTATGGGAAAATACCCTATATGTCACCACATCACTGAAGGGTGCATAATACCTTGTATTTTCAGTATCCTTATTCTTTACTTACATTTTTATTTATCTTCTTTTATTTGGATCCATGGCATTAAAGGAAGAAAGTTGTGGGAAGGAAGACAGCGGGTTCCCTCATTAGGCATAGTGGTGACCACACGTAGCAGTAAGTTGATCATTGAGGCCAAATTAAATCTCAGAATATTGGTCTTGACCAAGACCACTGTTACCAAGTCTGTGGTTTCAGCACAGGTTAGGAAATAAAGCAGATAATTTGTTGACCCAGGGATTGGCATTTTCCCCCATTTTGTCTTGGTGGCATCTATGCCCATATGG